TATATATATATATATATATATATATAATTTTTTTTTTTACATTGGGGAAAATATAATAAATATATTTAATAATAAATAAAACTATCAAACCAGAAATGAAAGGTTTAAAAAAATAAAAAGTACAGAAAAGAGCAAAATTAATAATTAACAAGTTTGGCAAGAAACTTTCTCTCACTTATGATATTATATTGTGTGTGTTGTTGAGGTTTTCTGTCCACTTGTCCTTCTCACTGTTGTTTTCGCTCTCTTTCAGGGATTTTTTGTGTCCATTATCTACTGCTTCTGCAATGGAGAGGTAAGTGTGGGTGGAACAGCATTCATATTTCAAATACTGCCACTTCAGAAAAGTTCGCATTCAAAGTGATTATTAATTTTCTCTCAACCTTTCAAAGGTTTTGTAGAAAGTCAGCGCACAACATTCATTTTTGCTCTTCATTGTTCTCTCCCAGGTCCAGACAGAAATCCGGAAGACCTGGCTCCGCTGGACACTTGCATTTGACTGGAAAGGTCCCGTTGTTTTGGCCAACTACCGGTATGGGACGGTCCTGAACAGCAGCGGTGCCAGTGTCCAGTCCCAGCTGACCTCAGTGACCCGCAGTTCCGCCCTCCTCACCAGCAGGGTGTACCGCTCCGCCGCTCGGCCCAGCATCGGCTCGCTCGCACACAGCTCGCAAATACACACCACCCTACCTGGTTACATCTTCAGCAACTCGGACATCGAGAGCCTACCGCCTTCCATTCCAGAGGAAATCGAAGAGGAGGCCAAACACATCAACGACATCACGCTCAAAGGCGTTAACCACATCACCGTACGACAGGAAGCCCTCAGCATCTGTTTCGAAGAGAGCGGACAAAGCTCATCCCACACGGATTCTGATGATGTCAGATGTTGTCCTGATGACGTCACCACTACGGAAATCTCCAAGTGCACTGATAAAATATCACTGAAGGATTCTTCATCAGTGAGGTACAACAGCTTGGATCAAGAGGACGAGGAAGAACTTTAAAACGCAGATTTCGTTTAACGCGAATTGCCGTTTGCAACCCATTTTACTTCTGTAATGCAAGGTATTTACAGTTGAAACAGGATGTTCGATTTTATTGTTCGGGAATTGATTGGAATGTAAAAATTTGGAGTTATATACCAGAATGGAGCTAAATTTGCTAAAATAGTGCCTAAATAGCTATTTGGCTATTTGTTAGCGTTATCCAATAATGCTAAGTGATAAAGGTCTAAGTGAAAATGGCGTAAAAAGAAATTCACCTTGGAAGAAGAGTAAGTTTTAATCAAAGAATAAATAACATTTTTCTTTGGAATGACATGCACTGATTCACAATAAGACCGAAAGCGTGTCTTAAAAGAATATTTTTCCCAAAAATGAAAATTTGCTGAAAATGTACTCAACCTCAGCCCATTCAAGATGTAGATGAGTTTGCTTCTTCATCAGATTTGGAGAAATGTAGCATTACATCACTTGCTCTCCAATGGATCCTCTGCAGTGAATGGGTGCCGTCAGAATGAGAGTCCAAACAGCTGATAAAAACATCACAATAATCCACAAGTAATCCACACAACTCCTATCAATTAACATCTTGTGAAGCAAAAAGCTGTTTGTAAGAAACAAATCCATGATGTTTTTAAATTAAAAAATATTATCCATAATATTGCTTTTTCCAGTGAAACTATTCCTTTAAGAAAACTAAATGAGTCAAACAAAGAGGCCATACATGTCGTATAATGCATGAAAAAAAATATTTGGTTGGGATCATCGGGTTTCACTTATTTTAGGCCTTGGAGAAAGATTTGTTTTGAAATTTGCACTCTTTTTTGCTGGAAATTAGCGCCATCGCACTGCCGTATAAGAGTGTTTACATCGTTACGTTTGGTGAATTAAGTATGTGTAAAAATTTCCTTCACCAAGTGTCAAGCTGTGTCATTTTTTTGCAATCAAATGATATCGTTCGGTGAAATCAAACAGCGGGACTCATTCATGAAACACAAGCGAAATGAATTTCTGCGTAAATATTTCGTAAAACATGTTCTTATGTAAATGTTGTCAGTTCGGTTACAATTTATACAAGAATGGTTTTACAAATCATTTAAACAAATTCATTCTGCTTGTATTTTATGTCTGTAAAATTGTTCGCAAAACCATCTGTGTAAAATGTCGTGCTGTTAATTTTCACCAATACATTTACACAAAATATTAATTCCGCTCGTGTTTCATGAATGCGACCCAAAGTTCAGAGTTCTGCTTTGTGATTTAGGTATTTGATTACGCCTTTAGCAAGAAAATCAGTAGGATGTTGCTTGGCATGAATGTTTTGCTTGTACAAATTTTACATCAAGCTATTTTTCTACTGTGATTTATCAGTTAATGTTTTTCTCAAATTGTTTTAAATGTATTGTGCATTGATGTTTCATTCAAAGGTGTAATAAATGCACTTAAACATATGCGAAACAAACAACAAAAATATGTTACAACATGTTACATCTGATCTGAATAACTACAAACACTATTGAAGACATGCTGAAAAATTAGACGACACTGGGATCTTCGTACATGTCCCAGTGAATACCTGAATATCTGCATTAAGTCGAAAGCCTTAATAGACTGAAGTGTTTACCATTGGTTTCCCCGGGATGCTCTTAATGTGTCTTGCTTCTGAGTTGAAATTGACTGCACAGCCATTTGAGGCCCTGTGGGAGTCGGGTTATGTGTTCATACTGTGATAACAGTTACATAACCTTTCTCAACAGCGCTCCTGTTCAATCGCACAGAAATATTAATTTTAGAAAAAAATAGTTCAAACTACAAATCCACATACTGTATGTGAAATATGCATATATGAAAAGATGTAATAGATATTAACATACATTTTGGTTATTTCGCAGGCCAGAAAGAACAACTGATAGCTCTGCAATGAGAGTAAATGATAGCCAATTGAGATTTTTTTTGTAAGTTTCCTGCTTCTGAGATTTTCCTAAAAATCTCGTGTCATTGTGATGAATGTCTCAAACTGTGCTCAGAAGTCCGAGATTTAATATGAAGTCAAACATTTCTCAACAAATCTTTGCAAATTATCTAAACCAGAAAAGTTGGTGCTGAGATTCAGCATTTATAATTAATTAATTAATTAATTACAAAAAAACAATTCTGTCTTTCCTGTGAAATAAATTAAATTAAAAATTAGTGCTGAGATTCATCAGATGTTTTGATGATGATGTTCATGATGTTTTCATGATGTTTTTTTTTTAATTCCTGTGAAATAAAAGTTCAAATGAATTAAATTAAAAGTTGGTGCTGAGGTGCATTTATTTGCTTTTCTGTCTTTCCTGTAAAATTAAAGTTAAAATAAATTAAATGAAAATTAAAACTTAGTGCTTCAAGCTTTTTTCTTTGCTCCTCTGTCTTTTCCATTAAATAACACTCAGAGACCTGGACATTTATATTTATTTATATGAATAAATGAAAAAAAATATATAATAAATATATTTATTAATATTAATTTAAATATTAATTCTCATGTCGTTGTTTCAGATGAGGTCTCAATAATGTCTCAAACTGTGCTTGGAACTCAGAACATTTCTCGACAAATCCTTGTAAATCATCTAAGCCATACATTTAATGTTTTATTTCATTATATATGAAAAATCTCAGAAGCTGGAAACTTGTGAAAAACTCTCAACTGGCTTCTCATCTCAATGTTATTTTTTTTATTGAAATTTATATTATTGTATTATCATTTTATGTTATTTATTTTTAACATTTTTCTATAATGTCAACAATTGTCTCAATTTTATAGTTCATACTTCATTGAAACAATACCACTATCTCTCCTTTTGGAGATCATATGTGTTTGAATTTCATTTAGATCAGTTGGTGGCAGACATTCTTGCCTAAACTGCACAAATCAAACCACATCCATCCAATTGCCCCTATTATGAAGCTGAATTGATGTCCTCAGACGCGTGCCAATATTGATTTGTCTCCTGTAAAAAGCAGCTGATGCTTTGCCCTTTTGAACATGCACACAAAGTCTTTTCATAGAAAGGAAATGGAAAATGATTAACTTTAATGATGGCCATTGTGTAAGAGCAGGTGACAAAATGTTGCTTTTTCTCAAATTACGCTTGTACCTTTTTATGTCCTCGCCATCGTTAATATTGCAAATTTCTGACGCCATTAGCAAAATGCATCAATGCAAAGTGTCCCACCTCCCCCTCATCTTTTAATCTTCCTTCTCCTGCACTTCCTGTGCTTATTAGGCTAGCCACTGACAAGCTTAGCAGGTTAAACCCATGTTAATGGGCTTCACATATACCGATCTTTTAACACTCTTTCTCTTCGGCAAGGACCCCTGCTTTGTCCAGTTGAAAAAAAAAATGCAATGTCAAATTGATTTTAGAAACCTTCTGAATGCATGTTCTTGTGTAACTCTTGTGTAAAAGTTCCGGTAGCAAAGTTTTTTTCCACACAATCTGTGAAAAGAACCTCGATCTCTCTCTCTCTCTTTTTTATTTCAGGCAGAGGATGGCAGAAATCACATTTTCCCCATCACCAGTGCAAAAAATTATGTTTTCAGCCTTATCTAGAATAATTAACGGTTTGAGGTATAATTCGTAGGCTACTGCCTAGCCATGGTATATCTCATCATGGAATCCAGTCAGGCGTTAACGTGCTGATGATGGCTTCATTATCGTCTGTGGTTTATCTTATCTTAACAGTTCCATTTCTGCAGGTGTTTTTATCTCATGGCTGAATTTTATTTCAGCCATGAGACTGGCAGACGAGCCACGAGCACTTTTTTTTATATGTTCTACATTTCATGTATTTATGTAACACATATTCTAAATACATTTAGAATGAACAATAACTGCTGTACAAAGAGTAAAAAAAATATAGCCTATATGCAGAAAAGCCGCCTCTTTTTCAGAATTGTGTAGATGACCACTATCTTTCTTTCATAATTCTGATACATTTTCAGTCAAATCGTTCTCTGTGTGCTAGATTGGAGCCAGTTTCTTATTCTCCTCATAACTGAGAAACTTATTTCTGATGTAGCCGAACCAACGGGCAGCGCCGTGAGTGCAAGCTGCAGTACAGTAGTCTGAAAAAGTTTGGATATTTGTCCTTCCGTACTTCATCTTTAAAGGGGACATATGATGCTGCTAAAAAGTTTATGCACCAAGAGCTTGTAACACTCCAAAGAGAAAGGAAAAATTTAAATCGCATCATATGACCCCTTTAAGAGTGTGCAGGTTTGGAACGACATACGGTGATTACACAAGAATTTTCTTGGGTAAACTATTCATTTAATTTCTCATTGCATGTGTATGTGTATTCATCACAATGGCCTGCTGTCTGTCTTATTACAGTTTTCTCTCTCTAAATGACCTTGTCTCTTCAGCCTGATACACTACGCCATTCAGACTTGTTCTTCCCTCATGCAATATTTGGGAACAAGATTTTGCTCGCTATTCTCCCAAATGTCCCTCTTATTCAGATATGATAAAAAATATTGTGTAGTCAGCATACTATCACATATTCAGATAGATAATACTCAATCACATTGTATTGAAGTTCTCCCATGATACTCCATTTGTTATGCTGCAATGCACTGTGGGCGATTGATATTCTCAGTCTTGTCTTTATTGGTGGAATAACTGATATGAGAGTCGGGCTGTGTTAGAAACGACGCTTGGCTAAAGAGATCCAATCCAAGAAGGAGTTGAGAAACAAAGAAAGAAACAAAAGTTCCAGAACAGTGAAAGGAAGACGTGTACAAAAACTACCCATAAGCCCTCAGGTTTTTTCTAACTGGAAACAGACTGACAGCAGACGACATCATTATTAAAGAACCTTACAAAAGAAGCTCATATTCTGTGCAGTCACAGTTCAATTCCCCCTGAACGGTGAGTGGAAATTCAAGAGGAAATCAGTCGTACTGCACATTTTTAGTTCTCCTTGAAGTTTTATTTGTCAGAAAAGGTCAATTGAATACCCACGAGTCCTCCGATTTTCTTTTAACTCTGGTCTGACAGAGAGCATCATTATCAGAAGAAAACCTGGAAGAAGCAAGAACCTCACTGTAGAGTTATGCTTTACAGTTGGAGATCAATTCTTTCATTGTCAGTGCAAAAGTTAAAGGAATGTTCTGGGTTTGTTAGACCAGAAACTCTGGTAGTTTACATGACACTAAAAACTGACAACTTTTTTATGCATTTCAGTTGTTCATTTACACAACAATGGCGTTCTGGGGGCCTGAAAACTTTTGAAAACGGATTTTGAAGTGCATGTTTTTGAAAACGGTACCATTATCATCTTCATACGAAAACACAAATTTGTGAAAATGGTGATGTCATGCGTAAGCATATTAAGCATTAAATTAATAGTAATGCGTATGTG